GACCAGTGGCCCGACCCATGCATAGTCTTGTGGGCTAGGCCTCCCTTAGCGGCTCGGCCCATGTGGATCCTTGCGGGTACCAAGGATCATACCCTCATAGTTAGTCCCCGAGCACATTGCATTCGCTGAGCAACACCATCATGCATCCATCCAAGCTATCCAACTTGCAGCAACTCATCAGGATCAGTCTTCCGACCAGTTCAAATAGGGGCCGAGCTGTTAAAGCAAGCGTCCGAGCAGTTCGAACGAGCATCTGAGCTATCGAAGTGGGAGTCTGAGCAGCTGAGACAGGCATCTGACCAGTTTAACTGGGCATCAAGCTTGGACTCACTCGAAGTCGTGGTTCGCCATAAGGATGTAAGGAGCTCAACTAAAAAAATTGAAGTCTTGGTCGGTGAAGTGTACACACTTAACTGCCAATTGCAATGGTCCTGACGACGTGGTCATCAGGGCAGAGCATAGGCGGAGACTTTACGAAGTCGAAAACACCATGAAGAAGAAAAGTACGTGCACTGCAAGGTGCATTGTACACAATGTAGTCCCCGAGCCTGCTGGAAGATGATGAAGGAATCTTGTAGTAGGGTCAAGGAAAAAACTTAGCATAGATGGATAACGAATTCCGTTGATCCAGCACTGAGTCTAGAGATTCATTTCGTTGTTCCGCATTTAACGTGATTTAACGCCGTGGCCCACCTTGTGCATTTGGCGGCCCACCGGCGTGCGGCAGTTTTGGGAGGGAATGCAGCGGGTCAGGCGGGGTTTTCCAAAATCCCTATAAGGCAAAGGGTCAAGGTCGAACCGTTATAAGTGTCGCAGCCCTGTCACACATTCCCCACCTTGCTCTCGCCTCTTCGTCTTCTTACTAACGCCCGCACCACATCACCCAGCAACTGCTCTGCCATCTTAGTGACCGCAAGCTCGTAATCTCCCACCACTCCTCAGATCTATGAGATGGCACCCAAGAGGAACCACAGCAGCTCGAGCAGGACATCGCACGAGCTCAATCGCTCTAAGGAATGGGTGAGCTCCATCGGCAACAAGGCGGTGCTCAATCAGTTGGTGGTGGACGGCGTGCTGTCGGATAGGGTGACGGCGAGATGGTGTCCTGCTCACGGTGAGAGCTTTCCTACCCCCCGTGGATTTGGCGTTTCGATCCATCCGTTCCTCCACAGATTGATTGAGTATTACGCCATTAGTCTTTGCAATCTGGGCCCGAACTCCATCCTTCACGTTTCTGTCTTCATCCATTTCTACGAAGCCTATCTTGGCATTCTCCCATATTTTGATCTCTTCCGCCACTTTTTCTGTTTGAAATCTTGTGGGTGATCTGGATCTAGAGTTGTGGGTAGCGCGTACTTGTAGCTGCAGGATGGGCTGGTTGGGCAGTACATCACTACCCTGTTGAACACAAACATGAATTATTGGGCACAGTGATGGTTCTACATGCCACAGGGGGAACATTATGTGGCGTGCGACATTGATCAGATTCCCATGAGCAACGCCAGGTGGTCGGAGAGACCTAGTGCCAGTGGAATGGGCAGGTGAGGGAACTCCTGGCATTGATTGACCGAAGGAGAGTAGATGGGGTCATAGTGGCAACAAACTTTACTTTTTGGTGATGCCAGCCCAGCAAGGAGAGGGCACACCCTGCATATGAATTCCGGGGGGATACTGACGGGACCCGAGAGGTGCCCTAGCCGATTGCCTGAGAGGAAGTCAAGCGGCGGATTGGGGTGTTGTTTAATCTCACGGGGCACCGCAAGGTTGACGACCAGCAGAGGCCTTTAGTGTTGGGAATCTACCACCAACGGTAAGAGTCTTTGTATTAGTTTAGCCTAATTCCTTTTTTGTTGCAATGTACTCACTCGTGCTCTTGAAGATCCATGGGCAGGACCGAGCAGCATACTTCTCAGCCGCGCCGTCGACGAACTAGTCAAGGGGTGGTGATGCCCGGCTGAGCAGTCCCCAGCGTTGAGCTAACTCGTGGGCTGGTGGGGACAGCTTGGATGAAAATGACGATGAAGACGGAGGTGAGCGGACATCAGATGTCCATGAGAAACTTTGGGGGAAGCGGCCTGCTAGCGAGGAGCCTTCCCCGAAGAGAAGGAAGACGACGGGATCGTCCCATCGAGAAGAACGGCCGATGAACATCAACGCTCCCGCTTACCCCCAAAGACGGCGAATGGTGGTTTCAAGCTCGTAGGATGCCGATGGGTTGGCAGCACCACCATCTCTGAGGGACGGGATACCACCATCGGTCGTGCCAGCCAGAAAGGAGACCCGCGAGATGCGACGGATGCGGCAAGCCACGGCCACGATGCCCGGCGGTGTTCGGGCATCATCAGCGGCGACGACTCTTGTGGCGCCAGCGTCAATAGCCTGGGCAGCTGCTGAAGCCCCTAGATCACAGTTACACCCCCTGTGGTAACAGCGCAGGCGGCCACCGCAGTCCCCGTGGCCGTGAGGACGACTCCGGTAGCGACGGTGGAGACGCCGAGTGGTTAGGGTGGTGGGCCAACAGGTAGTAGGCGGGGGTGCCAGTTTCGAGCTTTGTCGTCGCCTGCTCCAGATGCTCGTCCACCGCCCGCAACCGACCAGTCACATCCTCAATGGTGAGGGTGGACAAGTCCAGCACCGTCTCTATGGAGAGAGCGATCTGGATGTACTTCGCCGACACGGAGTGGAGGTACTTGGAGACCGTCTCTTCTTCGTCGATGGTGACGCCGTGGCTCCTCAACTTGTTGATGAGCGTCTGCAGGTGGAGGGAGAAGTCCTCCACCGATTCACCATCCTTGAACTTGAGGTTGGCGTACTCCTGCTTCAGTAGCTCGGCCGTCACCTTCTTTGCGCAGTCGGAACCGACGCGCATCGCCGCAATAGCCTCCCACGCCTCCTTAACAGAGCTTTTCGCCCCCAACAGCTCCCTGTACTCTGCTGGCACAGCAGCGAGGATAGCCTCCAATGCTGACATGTCGTTTTCTTCGTTGTCGGTGCCCTTGTCAACAGCATTCCAGAGCCATCGAGCTCTGAGCTTGACCTTCATGGTCATCGACCACTTGCCATAGTTGGTGCGAGTCAGCGTCAGCCAACTGGTGCCGCTGACCTCCCGTATCGTGCGCACAACGACCTCCTGTCGTGGCTGGACAGCCACAACAGCACCGCTGCTATCGCCCATACCCAAACCGTCCGTCATCACCAGCAGTTAGTCCGGCGACGGCGCTTGTACGGCTCTGATACCACTTGTTAGCGCCTGGATCTCTCAGAACGGGTGAGTCGACCACTCACTAGCATTGCCAACCACACACTATCGTTGCCGGCCACACACTATGGTTAGAGGTAGAAGAATTGAGGAAGAACATAGTACACACAACACAAGCACCAGCGTTGATCGAAACTCTGCAGAGGAGATGGCAAACTAAACTCGCTCTCTTTACTGAGTTGCAGTGGCAAACTATATATACAACTCTACTCATCTAATCCTAGTACACAGACATGTCAGACTGTCATACTGTTATAGTGACTAGATGTGACAGCAGGGCTGACTTTGGCATCTGTCCCTGCTGTGGCTACAGTGCGGCAGGAGAGCCATTCGGCGCCTGCCTCTGCAGCTCCTACAGTACAACAGTATGGAGTCCTTTTTGACGTCGCCTGTCCCTGCCGTGCTTTCACACAAGGAGAGCAGCAAATTACTTAACAAACAGTTCCTGAAGCTTGCAGCTCTGCACATTCTGTAGATGATTCAGCTGTGGCAGTGCCTCTGGAAGGTCTTCAGGCGCCTTGAGCCCATCTTGTTGACGCTCTCTGTGTCTCCCACCATGTCCCCACACTCGATTGCGGGGCGAGCATGAGCGCTCGTGGTACACTAGGGCGTCATCCTTGTAGCGGTCCCGGAGATCGCAGCCGCGCCCACGAGCATCGCGACCCCCATGGTCGCGGTCGTCGTGGTCGTCGTCGTCGTTGTGGCACCTACGGCTGTGACCGAGGTCATAGCCCGGGCGGTCGTTGTTGTACTTGCTCTTGGAGCAGCGACCATCATGACGTCGCTCAGCCTTGCTGCCACCACCGCGTTCATTGTTGCCACGGTTGGCACGCGGGGGTGGCGGGTGGTGTGGGAATTCCTCAAAAGCTCGCGGCTGCACCTGATGCCAATCTAGGAGGCGACGCTTACCAGGGGAGAATTTGCCGTTGCTGTCGACGGTGGACACGGTGTAGTCATGAATGGCAGTCACTCAACTGTAGAGGAATTGCCTTGCTAGTTGCTACTATTTCCATCTGTGAGCAGGAATGATGATCGGCTATCCTCTTGTTTATCGAAAAACAAAATAAAAGAAAAGGCACATAGGCAATATGAATTTTTTGTGCGGTAATGCAGCCGCACACAAGTATTTCACCGGGATCACAAATGTTCTTGGCCGGTGATCGGCTATGCCGACCAATGCTCGACGGGTGACTAGACTACAGACACAGAACGTGTTCATTTCACTTACCACACATTTTCTGTCTCCAGGAGACCTAGTACGAGGCAGGATGCCAGGAGCCACCCAGCATCATTATCAATCTGCACAAACTTTTCGGTAATAAGAACGGTACTGTGAATGACTACATCATTACAAAGCCCTGCTCGTCCTATTTGTGAGAACGACATTAGATACTCGTGCAGACAAAATGTTGGTCAGTAGTTGAACCACGACATTCAGTCAGTTTAGGGTTGGTACAGGAATTCAAGCATCCTTTTCAGTAAATCATTGTGTGCAACGTTTCATCGAACCTGTGAAGGACACGTGGGTTGAATCATCATCACTTCATCATTCATCAAACACCACACCATTCGTATTACAAAATATCTAGGTAAGATTTCAAGCAGGTTTTGTGCAAACTGTTAACTGGCACATGGTGGTGGCATGAGCAGATTGCAATAGCAAATCTTATTCGGCAGTACTAGGAATTGTAGAGTGTAGTGCAACAGGTAGGCTCTGCAGGACATGTAGAGTTTGATACACTCAACGAGCTTCGACGGCTTGGTTTCCACCTCGGTTGATGATTTTCTCAACATACTCCTTCCTGAAATCATGTGAATGTTCCATTTTATTAAGTCAACACGAACCAGAGAATAAAGTGAGCCATGAAAGTGGAAACGAGAATCCAAGAAAGAGAGAACGGAACACAACAATCCTCCAGCTTTAGGGTTCAGACACAGGATCATACCTAGCCGGGAGATGGTCATGGGGACGATTGTATGGCGTCCAGACAGGCTCACCCACAAAGAGCCGCATTGCCTGAGGAATCATAACAGGAAAAGTTCCATATGAGACCACAATGCACTAGTCTCATTCACCGGCGCTTGTTTATAGAGGATTAAAGACAAGATTAACAAAGTAACATAAGACTGCACGCCGAAATTTGCAGAGATGGTATAACATGCACAATTACATGACATAAACAAGACAATCGCCCTCTGGAACTAAATACTAGCTTCCACTTAAAATAATTGTAGCAATCTGACTAATTCAAGAGTGAATGAATAGCATACATGGCTTCACAAAGAAATGGCAACTCATGGTGTGAACAGGGAAAGAAGTCAAAGATACCTTGATGTAGTTGTCGGTATCCAATGTAAAGCGGTGATACATTCCTGCAGGCAACACAATCATGCCCCCTTTCTTCACTGCTACACGGATCCACTGATCATTTTGGTCCCTCACATCAAAGTAGCCTTGAGAACATAATACGGAAAAAAAAAGTTAAAGATGGACAATGATTAGAATGAAAATATGTTGACTACTACTGATTTTAAACCAGAAACGAGATTTCGTGTCTTAAAGAAACACCTCTAAATGCAAAACAAAGGCACCTACCGCTACCCTCAAGACAATATCGTATCTCTTCATCAGTATGCAAGTGTTCTTCAAAGAAATTCTTTATCTTAGCCTCGTAATTTGGCAACTTCTCTGGGCACACATCACAAATGTCCTGCATAAGGAAGATGCTTATCACACTAGTTCTAAACTTTGAATAGGTATTGACCTTGCCACTCAAGGTAGAATAACAAAACAACAAGTGCCCAAAAAGAAGAACTTATTGGCAAACCATGTAAGAGTAACCCCTGGCTTCACGAATTTTCTTGAGGTTCTCATCATTCTCCCAATCACCAGCATTTAGGCGCCAGCTTAATATTCCTAGCTCTGGGTGTCCAAGATGGTAGCATTCAGCATCAGTTAGTATATCATGATGTCATATGGGCTCAGGAATAGAGCAGGGCATGCACAAACCTGAAAGTTTGTCGAGAGGAATGAATTCTTTGGGCTCGCGATGATGAGGAAGCCTCTGGTCCTCTTCACTGTCATCCATGTACCATGCTTGGATGACCTCCTCCTTGCCATCCTATGTTGTAAATAGCCATTCAAACGATATCATATACTCAGGATGCATAATCTGACAAGTACAAGCATGTTCAGACAAAGGAACCATGACCACCCAATAGCACGTTGTAAAATGTATGCACCACAAATTCACAATATATGATGCCATAATTCATAACCGTGCGGAATTAGGACTTGTGCATAAAAGCAAATATGGTGTTATAGCACAGCTTAATGCAAATACGAAATTAACCAAACACCTAACACAGTTCATATTGTGAGTTGTGACTCTTATGGCATTGACATTCTCAGATGCTTAATAAAGTATTAAAAAGGACATATTGAACTATGCACATCCCAATACGAAATTAACCAAACACCTAACACAGTTCATATTGTGAGTTGTGACTCTTATGGCATTGACATTCTCAGATGCTTAATAAAGTATTAAAAAGGACATATTAAAAAGGACATATTGAACTATGCACATCCCATCAGTCAAGACTAGAATTCACAGATTCAACCAAGGCAGATCAATATGACACTAAGCTTTTAGGATTGATCTCAGTAATTTATTTCTACAATCTGTACAAACCTAGTCCACATTGGACCCAACAAAACAAAGTTCAACACCAAGTAGATATTAAAAAGAAAAAGGAGCCATGATCTAGCAATATACAATCACTAACCTTTTTGTTTGCGTCATAAACTAAATTCAGTGCAGAATCAGATGACATATAAAAGAAAATATGAAATGAAGCTTGGTGAGTAACCATCATCTTTTCCGTGGCAACACAAGGGCACTCTACTAGTTTGTCTTAAAAGTCACTGTATACTAAGACCCAAATGGTAGTCTCATATTCTCACTGCCTTAAGAAAGGCCTCACTAAAACTACAAGATACAGACTTTTTTTTCGAACAATTCAGGGGAGCGATGCTCCACTTACTTTATTGATCGAAGCAAGCAACAGGGTTGCTCAGAGTACAAATTACCGCCTGGCATACCAGGGGAGAGGGTTACAAAGGGGGGGAAAGAGAAGAAGGGTTTGGGTGAGAGACAGCATTACAATGAGTTAAAACATTCAAGAATATAGGCGCTCCACACAGCGAGCAGGTGCTTGTTGCTCTTGAAGCGGCAAGCCCATCTTTCCAGGTCCTTGATGACCCCCGCAGAACAGCCGCACTTGAGAGATCGTCAGTGTTGAAGATCATTGCATTCCTGGCCTTCCAAATGTGCCAGAGAATAATCAGCATGACGTCTATTCTGACACGAGGAGGGAGGCCAAGCTCACACCCAATGTTCCAAGGTTGTTTTTTGCTGACCGTCCACAGCCACAACACGAAGGCAGCGCCAGATCCTCTGGGCACGGGGGCAGGAGACAAAAATATGGTCGCCGGTTTCCAGCACGCCGCTACAGGCAGGGCAAAAGGACTCATCGAGTGGCTTGATGTGCTTGCTGTAGAGATTAGCCCGGAGTTCATCCTGTCAAAATGGACAAGCCAACCAAAAACTTGATTTTTCCAGGAGTTTGCACCCCAAATGAGCTTGGGACCATCAAGTTCAGCATCATCAGCATGGAGGAGCTGGTATGCCCCCGACTTGAGAAAGGAGGCGATGTTAGCCCACAGGATCACCGGCTCAGTGAGTCGACCACTCACCGATCTTGCCGACCACCGGCTCGGTGTGAGTCGACCACTCTCGATCTTACCGACCACGACAAAACGTTGTCCGACCACACACTATGGCTAGAGGTAGAATGAGTGAGGGAGAACAGAGCATACACACACAGCAGAGACACCAGCGTTGGCCGGAGCCCTTTATAGGAGATGGCAAATATGAACCCCCTTTACTGAGTTGCAGTGACAAACTATATATACAACTCTATCCATCTAGTTCTAGTACAGCCTGCCATGTTTTACTGATTACTAGATAGGACAGCAAGGCTGACTTTGACGCTTTGCCCAGATGGCTGCTACAATGCAACAAATAGGGAGGCCTTTTTCGACGCCGCATTCCCTCGCTGCGCATTCACACAAGGGACGCAGAAGATTATCTAACAAAGCGAGCGAATAGTTGAGTCGCCTTTGATCCGAGGAGTCACGGAGCTGGAGAGTAGCTAGAATGGTGTTGAGAACATTTAGCTCATTAGTAGCTTGATGGGAAAGTCGAGGTTGAAGGACATTGCCGACCCCACGGCCAGAGTGTCATGGACGCTGCAAGGGCCTCCCGGCATGAGTGAAGAGGGCAGGGAAGCGAGCAGCGAGGGTGCGAGCACCAAACCATTGATCAAGCCGAGAAGGGCAGTCTTGCGGCCATCCCCAAGGAGGACAGGTGATGCGGCGGGCAGGGGGTAGCTCTTCGTGGACAATTTTGCCCAGGAAGGAGTCAGGGTCGCCAGCCTCCAGTGTCGGGGGGGGGGGAGTGAAGCTGGAACCAAGTTTTCCAAGGGAGGGTTTCAGGACCAAGAAGCTTGTGAATGAGTTTCATGAGTAAGCAGTGATTTTGGTCTTCCAGATTCCTGATGCCAAGCCCGCCGGCGTTTTTGGCAAGAGAGACGCGGTCCCAAGCAATGAGGCATTGCGAGCCATGACATTTCTCACCACCAGTCCAGAGGAAAGCGTGTCGGCGGCTGTCGATCAGTTCACGCACGGTTTTAGGAAGGAGGATGGCAAGCATATAGTGGATAGGGAGGCTGCTGAGCACGGCATTCACAAGAACAACCCGGCCCCCGGAGCTAAGCAGCTTAGCTTTCCACCCCGCAAGGTACCGATCAAAGGAGGAGATAAGGGGCTGGTAGTCACTAACCTTAAGTTTGTGCGGAGAGAGGGGGAGACCGAGGTAAGTTTGGGGGAAGGAAGAGACATCACAGCCAAGGATGTTGACCATCTCAGTTGCAGCAGCAGAGTCGATGTTCATAGGGATGAACGTGGATTTGTGGAAGTTGATATGAAGGCCAGTGGCGAGGGAGAATGCATCGAGGATCTGCCGGAGCTTGGCCACACTGGCCACGTCACCCTTGAGGAGAATGAGGGTGTCGTCGGGATCGATAGGGTGGCAAAGCTCGCCGTTAGCCGATGCCCGTTGGATGAGCCTTTGGAGGACATCGGACACAATGATAAACAGATATGGGTAGATAGGGTCCCCTTGGCGAAGGCCGCTGCGGCATTGGAACCAGCGGCCAGGGGTGCCATTTAAAAGGATGGCAGTCTTACCAGTGTGGAGGGTGCGAGAGATCCACGTGCACCAAGTGTTGCCAAAGCCACGGGCTTGCATAATGCGATCAAGCCTGTCCCAAGAAACAGAATCGAAAGCCTTCCTGAAATCCAGTTTGAGGATAGCAGTTGGGGCCTTGCGCTTATGACAGCAGCTGAGAAGGTCGGCGGCATAAACAAAGTTTTCAGCGATGTTTCTGCCATGGACGAAACCAGTCTGATCAGGATCAATCAGGTTAGGGATGCAGTCGGTTGGTGAGGATCTTGGTGATGAGCTTCATGGGGCAGTTCTGCAAAGAGATTGGTCTGAACGCATCAGCGGAGTTGGCCCCCTCTTTCTTGGGGAGGAGCACCAGATAAGCGTGATTGATGCCATCTAAATCAACCGAGCCATCATGGAAGGAGTTGAGGAAAGACAGCAGATCACTCTTCGTCTGCTGCCAATAGGCGCGATAGAAAGCTGGTCCAAAGCCATCAGGCCCGGGACTGGAATTGGTGTCCATGGCAAAAAGCGCAGAGGACACCTCGTCAAGGGAGACTGAAGTACTATCCTTGCACTACTCAAGACTACAATTCATGTGTTCATCTGAGGTGAGGACAGAGGACATTAACCTATTAGGATCGATCTCAGTGATTTATCCTTATGATCTTGACAGACGTAGTCTGAATTGGACACAAGAAACATAGTTGTCCCACACAGAGGATGCTAGTTATATGCAGTATAAGACTACAACAAGTAACCCAAGTAAAAACCATACACTTGAGACATGGCTGAGGTTCGTCAATGTGATGTCGAAGCTTGCAGCAACGATAGCACTTGAGGACTCCGTCACTTGTTAGTAGTTGTAGGTAGTGCTTCATGTTGTAGTTTATAAGTAGTGGTTGTATGGTTTTTGGGCTCAGTCTCCCTCATAAACTGGGCCAATTCTCCTCTTCCTATTAATATATGCCGGAACAATATGTTCTTGGATCTTTCAAAAAAAAAAGGTAAAAACTATACAACATAGTTGGGAGGGGGCTCTGGACTCCACTGAAGAAACAGAAGATGATACTTTAGTACTACCTGAATAGGACTTGTGTGGGTATGATAACGGCCATGTAAAGATTTGTGAGATAAACAAACCGGAACTTATCACAATTTTTCAATTACTCCGACCATTTAATTTGCAAGGTTATTACGGCAACTTATGTATATACGATTACTCATACAGGGTGAGAACTGAGAACAACATGTTCAAGAGCTAGTCTTATTATTCCAAGATCCGACTTTCGCATGCTTCGAATCCCTAACCAGGAAACCAACTAATCGGGAGGGATGGATCAAATCTAAGTTCATCTCGCGCGGATAGTCTCCATCCCACTATCCCAGCCCAGACCATATAGCGGCCTTCTCGAATATGGAGGGATTGTAAGTCCCATGTCTACGGGCACCGATGAAAGCAAGAGTACTTCCGCTATTACTACTGAATCTCGATCCGGGCCAACCATCATCGACAAAAACCTTGGCAAAACATGCGCGGAATAGAGTATGATTTTTCCTGACGCCCAACTGCTCGATGTCTCACGATATGAACAAGAACACGGGAACGGATTAGAACAGAGACTCGCCGGTACCTGGAACTGGCCCTCCATGTCCGAAGTCCGTATGCAGTGTCGCTGCTCGGCTTCTCCTTTTGTCGGCGTATTTCTTCGTCTTCTCGAATGCTCCTGCGCGTGGAATCTGGAACGAGGGGCCTGCGTTTCTTATGTTCAGCTTGGACTGAACGCGAACAGGCACTTTTGTAGATTGCACCCTCGCAGTTCATCAGTAGTTTAGATGCATACCCTTTGAGGCCTTGACATTAGAACATTTCCGAGAGCTTTTCTTCGTTTGTTGGAGCCAGATTTCAATGGTGTTTTTCTTTTATAATAAATTAGTATTAGCTGGACTTATCAGCCTAAAAACAACCAGCGAAACAGTCTGTTTCTATTTGTATACCGCGATGTGTCTTTTATATTCCTTTGTGAGTTGAGTATTTGGATGTTTCAAACTCGAGTAAAAGATGATGGCTCTGTGGGGGTAGATTGAAATGCGTTTTGTATATATTTCTATTTAAAGCGTGTTCAGTTCCAAAAATACTTTCAAAAAAGTGTTACAGTATCCGTCACATCGAATCTTATGATATGTGTATGGAGTATTAAATATAGACGAAAAAAACTAATTGCACAGTTTAGTTGGAAATCGCGAGACGAACGTTTTGAGCCTAATTAGTCCATGATTGAACATTATTTACCAAATAAAAACAAAAGTGCTACCATACCCAAATTCCAACTTTCCCTCCGACTAAACACAGCCTTATTTAATTTACATAGCTGCATGAAACGTGATGACATAAAAATACCATGACGATGTCGATGAGCTGGCAATGTTGTAAAAGAAAAAGACAAAAGGTTGCGTTTAAAGAAGGTACGGTACGCTACCGAATGCACGGTCAGACCGTGGAAAGATTCGAAACGGGTGTAGGGTCCAGTTTAGTTTGTAAAAAATTTTGTAAAATTTTTTATATTTCCTATCGCATCGAATTTTTAAACGCATGCATGAAGTATTAAATATAAATAAAAATAAAACTAATTACACAGTTTAGACGAAATCTACGAGACGAATCTTTTAAGCCTAATTAGACTATGATTGGACACTATTTACCAAATAACAATGAAAACGCTACGGTACTCATTTTATAAAAAAAATTTACATCTAAACAAGCCCTAGGTGAGGTGCGGCCCGCCGCCGGATGGCAGCGTGAAGTCGGTTGCGCCTGCGCCTCTCTCCGTTCGGGCGGTCATCTTGTACAAGATGAATCCTGAACCATTCCCTCTCGCTTATTAGCTTGCCACGTCGCCTGCTTTTTATCTTGCCACGTCGTCTGCTTTTCACAACCGTTGGATTTTGATCGGGCCATTCAAAAGTGAGCAAAGCTTGAAGCTTTTCCAATCCAAGATCCTTCCCGAGCGTCCCACGCCGTCGTCGCTCGCGCAACTCTCCTCCATGCTCCTCGCTTTCCCAGCCACCCGCTGCAGCCGCTCGCACATACTCCGCTGCTCTCCACGAGCGGCGCCACCGCCCCGCCGCCGGACGCGATCCATGATGACGGCGGAGCCTTCTACGGCGACGCGAAGGCGTTGAGGAAGCACACGGCAGTATGCAGGCCGTGAGGGCGGCGCGCGACGCGCGCGACGACATGGCAGTGCACGCGCTGCACGAAGCGCGCCCTTGGAGGACACCGAGAGGTACGCGCCGCAGCGCTGCCAGCGAGCGTTGCCTTCGACTTCGCCTTACGTGCGGCAACGAGCCCTCCCACGCTGCTACAGCCGTCGCCGCGGCCGCCCACGCCGCTGCAGCCGCCTGCGCGACGCCCACACCGTCAGCGACCACGGCCGCCGCAACCAATTCACTCCTGCGTCAGTGCGCCCACGTGAAAGGCCCGGAAGCCGATAGCAAGGACATCTCAGCCTCCGTGTCGACCTCCTGCTCCTGTTTGCTCCGCATTCCTGACCACCATCGACCTCAAAATGTCGGCGACAATACTTCCATGGAGGATGCCCTTAACGTGTTCGATGAAATGGGCACAAGGTATATATGCATACCCCATCTCTTTTTTTCCTTCTCAACATTTGTTGCTGAATTTGCATTCCCCATCTCTATCAGTTGTGCTTTGCATAATCAGGTTTAAAGTTTAGTACATAGATTGACATGAGTTCAATGATTCCAGTGCAACTGATGGGATGAGGACTGTACGATCTTTTTTGTTATTTGATTAATGTAGCAACTTGCCTGCGAGCCACTATAACTAGCAGCCAATGTGGCTGGACACCTTAGGTTCAATCGAAGCTGATACACATACCGCCTGTCCATGCACAGTTACTCATGGTGTCTTTTCTCAATCCAGAAATGCTGTGCTCATCCTCCTTTTGTTTTTGCCCTCCGTTTCTCATGTGCAGATGCACCTCTCCTCAATAATGTCGTACACCATAATTCCCAAGTTTGTTCCTATCAATTGAATTGGAGAGACAAAGCAAAGCTGGTTACATATCCATTTGACTGATCCAATGATATTGCTAATACATCCCATTAGAAGTAATCAATGAGCGCAAAACATCTATAAATGTTTTTTCTGCTGTTGTCTTAACTCTCAGCTGTTTCTAACTGCGCCATTCTTCTCATAAAGATATAGGCATATTCCTGGCAGCCAAAATTGTTTTACTCAACTTGCAGCAACTTTTCTGATCACCAATTCTTTGATGAAGTGTCCCTGTACATGTAACTATGATTATAGCTGTCATTTCCTTTCTGGATGTTCGCCAGGCCATGTACACGTCCATTCATATCTCCGGACAATTAAGATGAGGTTATAATCATATGGTTATTTTTGAAAAAATTGTGCTCTGATCTTCATACAGAAATTTTAAGTCCATCTAGCAATCGGCTGGGTATCAACTATCAAGTATGGAAAATATCTTTTCTGCTCTATTTTAATCTATTTCTATGTTGTTTTACTCTTGTCACAAGAACTAAGACAATTATTCTGATATTTGTGAACATAATTTCTATTTGCTATCAAGAACCATCCTGACATAAGTAATACTAGTGTTAACATCGCTATCATCACCAGATGGACATATATCTATTTGAATGAAAGAAAATAAAGGTCAAAATGCAATTTCTCATAATTTTTACATTTCCTTGCTCAGAACATCCTCCATAAATATTTAGTCTTTACTAACCTTTAGTTCCTTTTGAACCTCACAAAAAATGCAGCTTCACAATAGCCGGCGCTCTACACAGGAGCGACAACTGGTGTGTATTTTGGTTATCGTGTGATTTGCAAATGGCAGGTGCATCTGCTGTTAAAGTGTTAATATCAATTTGTCTTGCATAATATCATATCTAATTATAATGGACTTAGTTTTGCAGGCACCAAGACATGTTTTGACAGAGATTCGGAAGCATGGGAAACAATGACAGTTCCAGCATTGGCCTTGTTCGCTTCGCTGAAAAGCCATGGCTGAAAATACTATTCGCTGATTTGTTGTGAGAGAAAAACACTGTTCATTTACTGAAACAGTACGGCTCATAAGATAAGCGAACAGGGCCATTGTGAGTTGCGTCAAATAGTGACCACTAACTTCAACGTGATGAAGATGCAAATGATGACTGCCCTTCCAGGCGCGCCATCGTTCATGCATCATGCACACGATAATCTTGTCCATCCTCTAAAATGATGATCACTTGCGCTCTTTAAGGGTTATGGTTTATCTATAAAGTTTGGTCTCATTTGTTCATATCTTCATTTATTCCAATTAAGTTTGATCATTTCTTCTATTTGATCAGAGTTAAGACCTAATATAAGATTATAGATCCTCTAAATTTACCAGGTGCAATACAAATGATTTCAGCTACTTCGAATTTACGCAATCTGGTTCCTCAAAGATATAAATTTCTATAGTCAAATACTTTCAAGATAACAGGTATTATCTGGTGGCATATATACGGCAAAACACTTACTATGTAAGCTATACAAAATAAAGAAAAAAAAACCTTTATCGTAGCCTACACAGGCTGAGGCGCGGCTGGTTTTTCTAGTGACTCACGAAGTCAAACGGGCATACCGCGCGTCCATCTTTTGTTCTTGCACCCGCAATGGGTCACGATGACGCAAAGCACGATGCAAAATCTTTGCCTGGGCTACACACACCAGCCCAAAAAAAAAGGAACAGAAGGATATGGATGTTGACTACGGCCGACCACATAAAAAAGCAGGTCTTTGACGGGCCTGTTTGTAAAAGGACTTCTCCTGGGCCTCAACACGTTTGGCCCCCCCTAGTGGTTCTTTTTCTTCCTTTCCTTATCGGAGATCACCTTTCATTCAAAACCAGTGGTTGCTTGCTGGGCAGAGACAGAGCACGAGGCCACGATGAATTCCATCCAAGGTGTGGCGAAGCCATGCCGGCCGAATTCCTGACAAAAATTACCTGCCGGCCACCTGCCCTGAGATGCACTGCGCTGCTGCGCGCACACACTTGACAGTTGATGCAGGCGGCCTAGCAGCTGGGTCGTCCTGCATATCCGGAATGGGTTCCATACATTACATATCATCCATGACAAGTCGGCAGGCGTGCGTGCGTTCCCGACCCCGATCCATGAATGGAACGTGGCGCAGCCTCGGAGGCCTGCCTGCAGAGTGCAGAGACCTGCGCGCACCGTCACGTCTCGCACGACGACACAGCTGTACGTAGCATATATTCAGCGCTGAAACTGGAAGGCAAGCGACGCGGACGTGAGAGTCGCCAAGGCGGCCTCTAGTCGCGCGCGCGCGTGCGTGCGTGACCGGCCTTGACCATGCATGCACGCTGCGAGAGCCTGCCACTGTGCCATGGCCATGCATGGTTGCTTCCCAGAGGACAAGCGGCGTTCGCTGCCGCTGACAAAGGTGATCTCCGATCAGATCTCGTCGTCGTGCACGTCGTCTGTATATATAGTAGTAATAAGTAAAAAGGCCCGCGCGGAGGATGGTCGTGAGCAGAGAATGAACAATGAAGACACAGTTTATTATTACTACTGCCGCGAGGAAATAATATATAAACTAAATAAAACACGGCCCGCAGATGAATCAGTAATGCGCCACGTTCTACTTCAGCGAACGAAGCGTACTTTTTTTTCTCACAGTATTTTAGTATAAGCCAGTTTTCAGCGAAACGAACACGGCCATGCTCTCGCATCATCCATGTCGTGCATTTTATTTACTCGATCCTGAATAAATGGTGTCCGTACGTACGCTCGGCGACCTTTGTCTAATTTCGCACTATACACGGCGGCATGTTTCATGAAACAGCGAGGGACATGTATATGTATATACACGTACAAGCATGCACATTATTGATTTTCCAAACGACGACCTGATATGGTTGGGTGGTGGTGGTCGACAAGCTCTTTTTTTTTTTGAAAGATCGTCGACAAGCTCATGGATATGGATGGAATTGCTGCTCTGTGTGCACTGGGCAAGTGGGCAGGCACCATGCACGCACGCACGCACGGTCCGTGTGTCAGGACTCGTACGTGCGTACGTGCATGTCTTCTTCCCCATCGTCCTGGCCCCGGGCGCCCCGGCCGGCCTGTGGACCATCTGGGCCTGCTGCGTCAGGCAAAGAAGAGGAAGCATTGTTCGAGCAAGAAGTTACGACGGAACGCAGCACACGGCCGCCCGTGGAGGCAGCTGGTGGCCCTGGTGCAGTGGTTGCAGATCAGTAATTACTAGGCGTAGCTAGTAGTACTAGCTTGGATGACGATGATGATGAACATTGAACAGTGTGTCCACGTCTCCACGATCGATCAAAACTTGCTTGCTTATTGTTGTAGTAGTACGCGGTGGCCTAGCTAGGACGAGAAGATCCAGAGGGTGTGGTCAAAATCGATGGATCGTTGGAGGTGGACGCATGCATGCACGATGTATACGTACGGCCATGGCGTGATGCAGTCGAGTTCGAGAGTGCGTGGCGTGCCCGGTTTGATATGCTGTACATGTAAGTAGAGCAGAATCTACAGTGTCATGCACTATGCATATGCGCGCGGCTGCGGCAGGGCCAATGCAAACTTATACCGTCGCGTCATCTCACACGCTGCAGTACAGTGTATGCACGTACGCGGTACGCACGTGCCCTCATCCACTGTTTGGTTTCCCCGTACATGCTACATGCATGCGGGCAGAGCAGAGGTCGTAGTGTACATGTAGTACTTTCACAGTATATATATGTATGCATTCACGCACAGTACGTAGCGGCTATAGGTCATGCATGGTGCGTAGTACACGTGCTTTGTTTGCCATGACCCATAAATAAATCAGGGTTCTCAGTCATTGACACTGAGGCTATGTTTAGATGCCGAATTTTTTTACAAAATGACACGATAGCATTTTTTTTTTTTGTTATTTGACAATTAATGTCTAATCATAGTCTAATTAGGTTTAAAAGATTCGTCTCGTAAATTTCGTCTAAATTGTGTAGTTAATTTTATTTTTTATTTATATTTAATGCTTCAGACATGCGTTCAAAGATTCGATGTAACAAAAAAATCTTAAAACATTTTGTAAAATTTTCTGGAACTAAACACTACCTGAGCCCGAGGCTGACCGACGACGATAGGTATAGGTTCCCCACTGTGTGAGCGTGACAAAACAGGAACTATCTCCACCGACAACATCCGGAATATCAGACTCATCTGATCTCCGTAGCGCTACGATTAAATGGTTCAATACTCATTCGATATCTTCTTGATTTAAAAGAGAATTCTTTCTATAAATAAGTTTTGAGAAGAAAAAGATATTCATATTTAGTTGTCTATCAGACAATCTAAAATTAATCTCTCATATAAATAGTTTGCTGGAGACTGATTTTAGATCTTTGTTATCTATTTTGAATTTAGGTGCTCATACGGGTCTATGATTGGAGACGGTCTATCCCTTTGTGCTCCCTTGTAAAGTACCCCTGTTCCTTGAGTTGATGCGTGCATGTGCATATGGATCCGGAGCGATGACCGACGAGCGAGCAGGGAGGCATCAGGCAAGCACGCCAGCGCGCACCAACCACGCAGGTACTACCAGACCTGTTGGTTTGGTAAATAATCGTAAATTTTTTAGTTAAAACAGTATTTTTCTCTTACACAAACCAACCAGGTAACAGTACTT